AAATGCAGGTTAAATTCAGCCGACCGCCAAACTCCCGAACGAAGTCCGCGAACACGGCAACTCCCGATCAGCCAAACAGTCGAACGCCTTCCACAGCTAGAAATAACGAAAGCGCTGTCCCAGTAATAATTCCCCCCACAAACGAGACCAAGCTCCGTCTTGAGGGTCAAATGAAGATCTGTTTAATGGGGGCTACCTGCCCGGTATTTATGCAGGTCTCCACAAGGTGGACACTCCCCGAGGGGACCTTGTGGAAGACTGTAAAACATATTGTACAGTAGCCAATCGCAGTGGCTTCAATAATAGCCCTTCCCATCTTGCCCATAATTCCTTCTCCTCTACCTCGGAGATAATTAGGAAGAAACCTAATTATCTCTCAAGGTAGAGACAATCGCCATCTTGGAATACAGTAACAAATTTACATTAAAATACATAACGACAGAATTACCGAATGCATATGGTTCGTGCAACGTATCCCCTGACAGCCTGGATCTGAGGGCATGTTTTCACCGAATAGCGCTCAGATCCGATGTATCTAGTCGAATCGCCATGGAGTCAAAGTCTTTCACCAGTCCTTCGGTATACGAATGACTCCATGGGATGGCTGTCGGGGTAAAAGTCCATACGAATGAACAAAACTCCCGAACGACCGACGTTCGCATGCCTTGTCGAAAAGGAAGGTAGGCAGCAGCTTTTCAGCGGTGTTCGGTAGTTTAAGTGTCCGTTTTTAGTTCCATACAGTTTGTACCGAACACCGCTCTGTGTTCGTATGTCCCAAAATGGCCGCTGCCTCGTGGTCGACATGCGAACGACGACCACCCGTACGAATGGAATGGAGAGGTGTCTGCGGTTAACCACAACGTTCTAATTGGGGCCAATAGGTTAACCAGCAGCACACTCCTCTCCTGGGTGGTCGTTCATTCGGTAGTTTCAATCGGTAGTTTTGCAAATTACACGAACGGGGTTATACGAACAGGCAATTCCGCGAACAAAGGGAAACAGACGAACCAACAATGCAGATGAATCTGTCACAGGTACTTACCGGATTCGACGTGGGACGAACGATCGCGCTGTTAAGCAAGGCAAAAAAACTGCGGTTGAGGATGGCCGCCGCCAGCAAAAGGGTGGGAGGAAGCGCGTCAGGAATTGCAGATGTGAGAGGGCGGGAAACCGTGAAGGGAGCGAACCTGAGCCGCGGACTCCTGGGAAATGGAGTCCGCGGCACTGATGAGGGGAACTGAAAGTTGAGCCGCGGTCACTCAGAAGTGTGGAGAGACCGCGGCCGCAAGTATGAAAAAGATCGCGGAGATAAACCCGGTGCGATTTAAAGGGAAAACATGAAAGATTTGACACTGTACAAAAAACACAAATGAATCCTATATGTTTGGGGACAATATGTGTAGTAAGGATAATTGTCACAGAAATAAATTGTGAGAATGTAAGCTAATCAGGAGATATCAATTAGAAAAAATATTCAAATGATAATATGGTGCTAAAATTTTTAACAGAGTAACAAGGAATTTTTTATTAAAATATTGTATTAATGGCTGAAAACCAAAAGCCATATAATTGGAACAGACTCATCTGGGAGGCAAGCAGCAAAGAAAGAGGATATGGGAGGAGCTTGATGACATCATATAATACTGTTATACACTCTGATTGGTTGAATTATTTTACATTATTGTTAACTATTTCTTTGCTGCTGGGAGGTTCAGTAAAGAAAGATAAAGCAAATATGAAGCCTCCTGTCTTGCCATAAAATTATTACATAGTCAACAAAAATCTGCCAGCTTAGATCTGTGGAATGCTGAGTTCTAATTTAAACCTATGCTAGCCTGACAAGTTCTTTGATTCTATGAAATACCACAGAATTCTATGTTAAACGAATGGAAACATGCTGAGTTCTAGTTTGAAATGCCAGACTAAATATATTCTGAACTTTCAAATATTAAATCCATTTCTGAGGTACTACCAAGTATTCACCTGGCTTCTCACTAAAGTCTTTATCAATACAGCTTACAACCCTCTATTATTTATTTATTATTACTGCTATTTATAAAGCACAAAACAGATTCCGCAGTGCTGTACAATTAGTGGAGAAATGTACAATATACACAGACAAATACAAGAGGTTACCAGGTGCTTCAAGTTAGGTGCAGCTTCAGTGTATATATTCCATTCTATTCTATTCCATTCTATTCCATTCTGTTCTATTCTGTGATCTACCAGGGAATAGACACCAGTGTAACAGAAACCGGAAAACTCTCTCACTGGAGTGAACTCTGTCCAATTTATCATACCTCCTAGTGCACGTCCCACGGTGTTTATACTTAGGTTTAACCCCTTAAGGACCTAGGACGGTTCAGGACCGTCATTGGCATTTTTGCATTGCCGACCGATGGCGGTCCTGAACCGTCCTAACGGTAAGATGTACTTACCCGATCGCCGTCGTTCCCCCGGCGGCGATCGGCGGTGCTCCCAGTGTGGGGAAACTGCCTGCAGCCCAGACAGTCTCCCCATGGCGGATTAGGATCCCTGGGGCCATGTGATCGCTCAAAAGACAGGCAGTCTCCCTGCTAGTGTAAAATCATAAAAAAAAAAATAAAGTTAATGTTAATAAAAAAAAAAATTATATATGTGTATATATATATATATATGATATATAGACATTTATTATATTTATATAATATATGTCTATATATCATATATATAATGTCATACTAAGTGTATTTTTATATTAATATATACATATATTAATATAAAAACACACTTATAATTAAATTACACACGTATATATATAATATATATAACTATATATATTGTATATATATATATTATAAAATACAAATAATAAGTAGATTAAATTAAATAAAAAAAATTTAAAATAATAATAAAAATTGTAAATAAAATTATATATCTATATGAAATTTTATTCTAACTGTATTTTGATATTAAAATATATATATTTATATCAAAATACACTTCGAATGAAATTGTATATATATATCTATGTATATATAAATAAATAAAAATAATACGAAATATACATATGTCCATATACAAAATTACATAAATAATTATATAAATATACACGTAGACTTCAAACATATAAATATGCATATATATTTAAATTCTACGTGCGTATTTATGTAATATTTTTACATAATTAAGTAATTTTATTAATTGCAATTTGAGGGACCTGCCTGCCAACCCAGGCCCAAAGTCCAGAGAATTAAATTTGCTAGCACTGTATATAACCCTGTAACTCTCTATGACACCCTAAAACCTGTACATGGGGGTTACCGTTTTACTCGGGAGACTTCGCTGAACACAAATATTAGTGATTCAAAACCGTAAAACATATCACAGCGATGATATTGTCAGTGAAAGTGACTTTTTTCGCATTTTTTTATTTTTTTTTAATTTTAATTCTTTATTTAGGTTGTGCATGAGTTAACAAGCAGATTTGCAGTGCCACGATAGCAAGTGCAAACAAAGCAATAAACAAAGGAAAACAACAGTGTGGCTTAATATACATTGCACATTTTCTTTTTTATGATAGAGAAGTATTCAGTAGGCTAGTGATCAAGGTCTAGGCTAAGCTTTTCATACATTGTTACGTGGGGCTTTGCTATCTAGACTGATAATAGGTCAGTGCGAGCATAATAGTAACAATACAACATGCTTGGGTTTGAGCTATATAACATGTGGGTGCAGTTCGTATATATGTATACTTAAAGCTTAGCTGAGCAGTGTTTGCGTGAAGGTAGAGTAAGATTGGATAGGTGATGCTCAACGGCTCTAGATTAGGTAAATTAGTGTGTTTGAGGAGTGGTAGCTTGTGTTACAGTGTGGCAGAGGTAGGTCTGTGTGTGGAGCCTGGACATGGTGTGCTATATATAGATATGCTGTAAGGTGCTAAAGAACATATAAAAACATTGCTTCATCTTGCCTATACGTCAAGGTAGCATCTGCGTAATCTAAGCATAAGTATTTTCTGCATTATCAAGGGTTAACTGGTCTGATTCAAATAACTGTTAACACCACTGCTTTTGGCGGCATGGTTTTGGAGTAACTAGTGCAGCCCATCAATGATGTAGGCATTATAAACAGAACTGATAACGATTATAAACATGCTGAAATATAATGTCAGACTATACTGCGAGTGTGTCTCTGGGTCTCGGCGGCAGTCGCTGGGAGCCCAGGCAAACACATGAGGGAGGGAACACAAGATCAGGTTCAAAATACCACCGGTTGAGGCCAATCTGGGGTGCATTCGTGTCCTGAGGTCTTTTGGCTGTCCGGTAGCTGTTTGCCTTAAGATCAGCCTATGCCCATTTGGAAGAGTCCCAATAGCTGCAATGATTGTGACCTGCTGTAGGAATGAGGGGTAAAGGTGCGTGTGGTCCCCGTGTCCTGGGGCATTGTGCCTGTAGTGGCACATAGAGTCCCTTTCGCGTTTCCCACTGCTCGGCACTCCTCAAGGCTTTGTCGCGGGCCGTTGCGGCTCCTGTACAGTCTCTCTGTTGCGGTCTTCTTGTCGGGCCTCCCGACCCGTCGGCTCACCATTCGTTTCTGTTCTGGCTTGCTCTGCCGGGTCTCATGCTGATTGTGTGCTTTTAAGGTAGGTTGCTCAGACCAATGCCCCTTAAGTACCCACGCGGTCGCAATTAATGGCCTTGGTCTGCTGCTGTTTTTGGTGAGGCTTTGGGTGTTAGGCCCCCCGATTGCCCTTTGCAGGCGACGGTTGACTGCGTGTTTGTAGTTGGGGTTGGGTATCGTTACTCTCTGCTTATCAGCTCGTTGTGGGCACCATTGTGAGTTATAATCAGGAGCGTGGGGTCTCATGCGAGCCTCCAATTTCTTCCAGAAGGCATCGAAGATTTTATTCAGTCGGAGTTCTGTTTCTAGCTCCACGCTGTCTGGGTCTGCAGCGTAAAGTACATCCGCCATTTTGAGGTCTTCTTTATTGTTAGGCTCAGGCATCTGTGTCTCTGTCTCCCTCTCCTCGTTCTGCTGGGGAGTTGCATAGGGGCAGACCGGGATGACCCCCACCGGTCCATAGGGGGGGGAACGGGTGTTTTGAGTCACGTTTCTTGGTGTTACTGGTGGCGAGAGGGCGGCCGTCCGTCCCGCACCCACCATGCGGGTAGGCCTCATCTGTAGGACCAGCGTGTACCGGGGCGGTTGTCGCTTGTTTGGTATCATCGTGTGTGTCCCGGTGCCTTCAGTCTCTTGATGGCCCTTGTGCAGCATAGTGGTGCCGTTTTTTGTGGCTTTTTCCACGATGTACAGTGCTGTTCGGCAGGAGCTGCAGAGGTTTGCTTCCTCTCAGTCCTGCAGTCAGGCCCCGCCCCCCTTTTTTCGCATTTTTAACACACACACAGCACTTTTACTGATGATATAATTGTTGTGATATGTTTTCCTGTTTTGAAACACTAATATTTGTGTTCAACAAAGTCTCCCAAGTATAACAGTACCCCCCATGTACAGATTTTATAGTGTTTTTTGAAAGTTACAGGGTCAAATATATGGGTCAAATATTTTTACATTGAAAATGGCCAGGTTGGTTACGTTGCCTTTGAGAGCGTATGTTAGCCCAGGAATGAGAATTACCCCCATGATGGCATACCATTTGCAAAAGAAGACAACCCAAGGTATTGCAAATGGGGCATGTCCAGTCTTTTTTAGTAGTACTTAGTCACAAACACTGGTCAAAATTAGCATTCAATTTAGTTTTTTACTTTTTTCATACACAAACAAATATGAACGCTAACTTTGGCCAGTGTTTGCGACTAGGTGGCTACTAAATAAACTGGACATACCCCATATCGTTGTCTACTTTAAAAAAAATATGTACATGTGGGGTGTTATTCAGAGATTTATGACAGATGATAGTGTTACAATGTCACTATTGATACATTTGAAAAAATGTATGTTTTGAAACCGCAATATCCTACTTGTACCTATAGCCCTATAACTTGCAAAAAAAGCAAAAAAGCATGTAAACACTGGTCATTTTAAAACTCAGGAAAAAATGTTGAATCTATTGAGCAGTTTTTTTTATTTGCTTTTGTAGATGAGTAAAAGATTTTTCAAGTAAAAGTCAAAAAACATGTATTTTTTTCAATTTTTCAACATATTTTTTTTATTTTTTTAAAATTAAATTACATGAGATTATATAAATAATGGTATGTAAAGAAAGCCTTTTTTGTCCTGAAAAAAACCCAATATATAATTTGTATGGGAACAGTAAATGAGAGAGCGGAAAATTCCAGCTAAACACAAACACCACAAAAGTGTAAAAAGAGACTTGGTCGCAAATGTACAACCTCGCAAAAACAGTCCAGTCCTTAAGGGGTTAATATAGTTTGACGGATCACAGAATATATTTGACAACGATAATGTATTTATATTTACAGTGTTCATTGCATTCTTTATGGATTCATATTGCATTGCTGGAGTTATTTCCTCCTTAAGTAATATTGTTTCTGCTTTAAATCCAAGCAGTACAGATGCACGCACATACCAAAAGCGCGGCTGATGCTAAAGATTGTATTTCATCCAGTAGATTAATAGGGCTGCTCACTAAAGGAAGGATTCAAAGTGAATTCAAACTAAATTTCATATTTAAGGTTAAAAGAGCCAAACTGTAAAATTCTCTAAACGAGCTATGCTTTTAATTTGGCTAATCTGACCTTAAATATGAAAAGTCAGAATTCTCACTCCAGTAAGAGAAAGAATTCCAGCCTCAGTTATACTAGTGTCTATTCACTTGTAGATCCCAAAATAGCATAGAGTAGAATAGAATAGAATAGAATAGAGTGGAATGGAATAGAATATTTACACTAAACCTGTACTGAAAGGTAAGCACATGGTAAGGTTGCTCAGAGAACTGCAAGCTGTATTGATAAAAACTTCAGTAAGAAGCCAGGTGAAGACTTTGTAGTAACTCAGATATAATACTATATATCTTCCCGGGTGTCCCTTTTCTTCTAATGCAGGTTGTTCTGTTGTTCAGCTCATTCAGTACTGTCAATGGTTAAGCTGTGTGCATACCTTTGATATGTCTATCCTCTGTCCGTACTCCCACATCTGATGACTCTAAAACTTCTCCAGGGTTGCACCTTTTCTGTGGAACTCCCTTCCTTTCTCCATTAGATTTTCACCCAGTCTCCACTCTTTAAAAAGATCTTTGAAAACCCACTTCTTCAGGAACGCATATCATTTAAACTGTTAGCGGGTTTTCATCCCCCCCCCACCCCCATGACTCCTCTCCTGCAACTGTCAAAATTAACCTAAGTTCTTAATGATTACTTTTCTAGCAACCGATTTCATTACCCCTACTTTTACCCTTTGTGTCACGATACCCCACTCCATCTAACATGTAAGCTCATTGAGCAGGGCTTTCAACCCCTCTGTTCCTGTGCGTCCATTTGTCTGGTTAGAATTACGTGTCTGTTAGTCCACCCATTGTACAGCACTACAGAATTTGGTGGTGATTTATAAATAATAATAATAAGAAGAAGAAAGTCTTTTTCTGAAGTGAGGGTGTGTGGCTAAAGAGGCAGGTTTAAAGTGCAGCATTCTGCAAAACTTTTATACTTTTATTTATTTTATGCAAAAACAATAAAAATTGGAGAACAAAATACAGCATGTTAGTTAGGCCAACACCAAATGCATTAAAGTAATATTGATGCCCAGAGTGTCTCTTTTAACCACACTCACAATTCCACTAAAATACTTTGTAACCACTAAACAGCAACTTGCAATAAGTTCACAGCCAAATGTTCCGATGACATAGCAAGTAAATCTCATTGTTAAATGACAAAACCTTTGTGTTGCCCACTGTTTCATTAACCATAATCAGATTAATAATTGGTGATTTGTTGGCTGTGGGCACTTTGTGAAATATGGATTACTTAGCCAACTGCCACTTTACATACAATAGCTAATCGTAATGGCTTCCAAGCTACGATTTTTCTTTTTGTGTCTCACCGCTGTTACGAAAATAATAAAACACAATACTGAAAACACACTAACCCATGACATGTTTCAATGTATTTTCGCAGTTGAAGATTAAAAATAGCCCTGAACAAGGATATGAGAGAGTTCCCCTGCACGTCGTGAAGTAATTGTCTCAATATTCTACAGGGAAGTTCTTGCAATCTTAGTGGGAGAGTTCAGTGGTTAGTGCTTTAGCAGCGGTATATCTTACTCAAAGCACAATCTCAATTGGTCAATTCAAGCTTTAGTCCTTTCAACTTTGATAAAATAAACATATATACTCACAAAAATCTTGCCCTCAGGGACATTTTAATGTTTGGACCAGGTGTATCATTAATCAGATAATCCATGAACATGGATAGTATTTTCCATATGACATATATTTATATACTATTTTAAAACCAATACTTTTTTAAACTGTATTTTGCATATCCATTCAGGGCTAATCCCTAAACTGGAAGAATTTCACATTTTGGAATCGGAGAATATTTCAAATTCAACTATTATGGCCTTAAGTTTGCTGTTCCCTGGTTAATTCCCAACAATTCCCAGTCTAGAGAATAACCCTGATTGTACATTAATTTCAGTATATAGGTGGGCTGAGAATTAAACTTATACTTGTGTTTAGGTATATTTAAAAAATAAAGAAGACATTGTTCTCCAACTCTGAAAGAGAAAGGGCAACCCCCAGAGCAAATAGGGAGCAGGGAGCATGACTGGTGGCATACCAAGTGGATACGGTTGGTTTACAGTTGGAAGCAGGGAATTCTGGGAAAATTACCAGACTTCTTTTGAACAATGCTGGGGGGGCCTAGCAGTGTCTTTCCTCTGGTAGTCCCTGCAAAAATTACATTTATTTAAATTGAGTTTTCCTCCCAAATAAAATGGCTACTGCTTCAGAGATATTGAGGGAGGCATTACTCACTCTGCTAAATGCTTTCCACAGGGCTCATGGTGAGAGTCCTATGCTTCCTTAATACAAGGTGTCATGGAAGGCTCAGGAGAATATGGTGGATCGGAACGAGAAGTGACATCTTCACCTGTGAGCAGATGGGCCAGGCCCAAGTCTGATTCAGCGATTCAGAGCAGCTCCAGCATCCTCCAGGAGTCTGAACCGAGTGAGGCTGGTTTGGGGACTAAAATCCTGACAATTGCGGTGAGGAGAAGGTCCGGGAGAGTACCAGGTGTAAAATTTCAAGATCTGGGTCTCATTCCCAAAATGCCGGTGCAAATTCCTCAAGACAGCGTCAGATTACAGGTAAGATTCCTGAGACCTAGACCCTCTCTTCTGTCTGGGCAGGATGTCACATCAGATACCCTGACCACATGCCAGGGTAGACAGGGTGATGCTCGAACCTTCCTCAGGGATGCATACGTGATGTATGTATGCACCGCTGCACGGACATCACAGGCCCCTAAGTCTAAGGTGATGCCAGATTAAATTTGGGAAAAGTTTTCGAATTGCATTCAGAGGCAATTTGGCAATTGGATTCAGATGTCATTCGGGATTAGAATTTTATTCAGTCGCTGGTTTCTGAGAAAATTCACAGGAGGGATTCGGACTACGTTCACTGGAATACTTGGATGTAGTTCGCAAACGAATATCTGAGTCTATTCGACGCCAGAATTCAGAGAAAATTTGCTGCAGGACTTCTGCTTCCAGTGCGGTTCGGTGAGCCAAAGAAAGCAAAGTGCAGTTTTCTGCGCATTTGGCTGATTCTCAGAGGATGGAGAGATTGGTTTTCCCTGCTCCAGGGTCATGAGTATGCTTGTGCTCACGCTTGGGCTGCGCAGAAAGAGCCAGCGGGGGGTCTGGAGTCTCAAAGGGAAGTATTGCAGTTGCTCAGGGCAGTGTTAGAGTGCTTCACTCCTGTGCATGAATCAGGGTCTACACTGGGTCAGAGGGTGGGTCCCCTCCCTGTCTTGAGGTATCTCTTACAGGAGTTATGGATTCAGGACCAGAGTTAAGTAGTACCCCCTATCTGGATCCAGTTTGTATTGAAGCTATGCTGGGTTTACATGTGCCCTTGGATGAAATAAATAATAAGGGGACAGACCAAGGCAACGGGAAGGGGGGGGGGGGGACACACAAAGGTAAGCAATTGCTTAGTGTCTTTGTGACACTTGCAAGTGTTTTGACTAGTAGGTTTCCTGAGAGAGCACTGTTACTGTTCACCCATTTGGACCTCATTTGGCATGCTTACAAGGTATTTGGAGGTCAGTGTTTGATCAGTACGACTAGCAGTACAGGAAAAAAATGGCGATTGGTGCTCAATTGAATTTTGGAGTACAGGACGGTAACCTTTGGTTGCTACTTATGACTCTGAGTAGCCCGACCACTTTCCACCGGCGCTCCTGCAGGAGTGTCAGCAGGTCACAAGAAGGGCATCTGTTGGCTCTTTAATTAGAGCCACTGTAGGTGTTATAGCAGCTGTCAATTTAAGCACGAGTGTTATCATTGTAGGGGAGCAAATCCGACAGTGTATTTGTAGCGGACCACATGTAACCTAATCGGTTACCTCCGCTATTTCCCTTCCGTCAGCTAAACAGGAACCATTTAAGATATAAAGAGACCCATTTACCCCCAGTAACTGGATGACACACAGTTCTGGCCAACACTTTATCGGCCACACACGGCTTTTATGCATAGCCCCATGAAGGGGCTGACCACACAACATACAAGGACACCTCCCTGGGTCCTCCCCCTCCCTGGGACCCGAGCGCAGGAAAGGACTCTGTTTCCTTTGTCCCCAACGTCCGCCACTGGAACCTCAGGCCTTCCCACACTAGCTGCTATGGGTCTTCTTCCCAGGCACGGGAGAAAGGGACAGTCTCTTTGTCTCCCAGGCACAGAAAAGCCCGCCCCCGGGAAAAGGGCTAGTCTCTTTGTCCCTGCGGGCACCAAAAAGCCAGCCAAACTCGCCAGTGCCCCAGAAGTGTCCACACCAACCTCAGGGATCCTCACAACGGCCCCTGATGTGAACTGCCTCCATTCGCAGGGTCCTCGTGTGGAAACTGTGTGCTCCCCCTGTGTGCGTTCACCTATACGAAATGGCAGCCACCCAGGGTAGCACTCATTAATTACTTCCCTTGCGGTTTCACACTTATGTTGCAAGTGCAAACGTTCTAATTGATTGGCATGAACATTCTACTGGGGCACTGGGGAGGCCCTAGTCCAGGAAATGAACGAGTCGGGAAACAATCCACGAATACTCCCCCTGCCTGGTGTTCGTCTGTACGAATGGCAGTCAGCCAGAGGAGCATTCATTAATTGCTTCCCTTGCGGTTTGCAGTTTGACACTATGTGGCGAGGTGTGAAAGTTCTAAACTAACATTCTATATGGGGGGTATCAGGGTGGTCCCCGTTCGGGAGACAAATTAATTCCCTTTGTGGGAGAACTCCCGAATAGGGAGCTGGCAGAATATATGAAAAGGTGGTGAAATACACATAATACCAGACGGGCAATTCAAGAACATTCAGCGGTCCCGCCACATAATTGTTTAAAGCTGGATAAGTCCCTCCCAAGAACTTCGCCCAAGAACAACGTTCCTCAGAGCGAGGACTCCAGTGAAGGCAGAAAGGCTGCTAACATGACTCGTTCAGTACCCAAGTGTAGGGATGCTTACATTTTATGGGAAGGTTTTACGGGTGGTTTCCATATTCTGCTGGTTGTGTTGCAGGAGGCGCCTAATTCGTTATTGATTTGGGATAAGTAGCATATCTTGTCAAAGAAACTCCAAAAGGAGGTTAGCATGGGTCACTTTGACAATTTGCAGGTGTCCCCGTTGGGCTTGATTCCAAAAATTTAACCAAGCACCTTTCGGCTCATTCATCATTTATCCTTCCCATTTGGATCTTCGGTGAATGATGGCATTGCTAAAGAGGTCTGTCGAGTACGATATGTATCTTTTGATTGGGCATTGGAGTTGGTTCGTCTGGTAGGGCTGGGGGCCCTGATGAAAAAAATCAGAATTTCAATCTGCATTTAGTTTCTTGCCAGGTCATTTCAGATTATTTTAATTTACTGGACTGTCAGTTTAATAGGAATTTTATTTTATGACATGTGCCTTCTGAAGGGCTGTTTGATTAAGTGTTTTCACTATTATTATTATTCTATTTTATTATTATAGTTATTAAGTTCCTTTTTGGAATTGGTGGTTTTGCGAGTAGTGGTTTGTTAATCTCTCCTGCATTATCTCGACGATTTTTGTTTGTGGGTTCGTTGGGTTCTCAAGTTTGTACAGACTTGTTGTTCCACTTTCGTAGGTGTATGGTGGATTTTGGTGTTCCAGGCGCTGAGGAGAAAAGAGAGGGCTCTAGTACGATACAGTTGGTTAATAAGGTGCTTTACTTGCGTGAGGATAAGCTTCAGGTTGTCATCTCCCATGGATCAGGTGCAAGGAGCTCCCTATTGGGCCATTTGAATCCTGCAATCCCTACTGGGCCATTTGAATTTTGTATGTAACTTATGCCCATGGGGCGTGCTTTCAATCACTGACTTTCTTTGGCTATGGTTGGTTTTCTGCTACCTTTTACTCGCCTTTTGGGAGTTTGAAGTTTTGTTCCTCGTGGGTTACAATGGTCAGACATTTTGGTGCAGTTACAAAGTGTCTAACTTGGCCTTTGAGCTGTTCATGAAGTCTATGGCTTGGTTGGTTTTGGTGCCCTTGTATGAGGGCTATGATGTGCGGACCACTGGCGTGGTCATATTCCTTTTTGGTGCTATTCCCGATTGTAGTGTTGGTCAAGCTCTGGGTTTCAGCTTTGGCAAAGTGGCAGGTTCTTTTCCGTGCTGATAACCTTAGTGCAGTGCAAGTTGTGAACCAGTTATCATTGAGTTTTCTTCCGGTATTGGCCTTATTGCAACAATTGGTTCTACATTGCTTGGAATTTAATATTTGGTTCGGGTGTCTAATGTATTGCTGACTCTCTTTCTCGCTTCCAGTAGGAACAATTTTGGGAGGTGAGGTAGAGGCTTGTGGAGTACCCCGAATGCTTCTGGAACCTCAGTTTTGGAACTTGACTGACTTGATTGGGAGGTTCCTGGCTCCCACGTCTTTGGAAGCATACCTGACAGTGTGAAATCAATAGATTTGTGTGGTAGGAGAATTTGGTTGGTCTTCTTCAGAAAATAGGTTGTCATCCACTTTAGCCTTTCTTTCTGACTTGCAGCATCATGGGACATCCATGTCAGTGGATCAGGGTATGTCAGCTCTTTCCTGCACCAGCAAGTTTGGTAAATGAATAATGCCTGGACGGGCTTGGGAAGTCACAGCCTGAGTTTGGATTATGATGATGACTGGCTGAAGAGGCTCTGGGAGAAGTTTAAACTGTACCTGTCTGCTGGGTAAAACCAGCAGCTGACAGTATTTGGTTGTGCTGGTTTAAATAAAGCAGTAGCCGTTGCCCTTACCGACTTAACATGGTGTTGCGCAAATTATTGAGAATGGAAGGGTAATGGGATTTGGTGATCGTAAAAGTCAGCAGTCAAGAAAAATCAGCAGAACTTGGAAGTAGCACCCCAACACCCCAAGCCCCTATGAAGCCACCAGGGAGGGAGGGAAGGTGGGACAACATACAGGAGGGGACAGTTGTAAAACTAAAATGACTGGAGTGTAACTGTTACACCAGCTCATACCTGTCCCCTGCCCCCAATGCATTCCCCCTTTCTCTATCCACCAATCTTTACAGCCTTGCTAAAAACAACTGTCAAGGCCCTCTTCCGCCTATTTGTCTTCATGGGGCTGCATTTGTTGTCTCTTGGTAGACTAACATCAGTATCACTATTTGGTTCCTCACAATCTGCTTTTCTTAATATATTATTCAGGGGCTCTGCAAGGACCAAAGGACAATTGGGCCCCACTTCTTAACACTCCTCTCAACGCACTCACAGATGGGCGTACATAGGCACACTAATAAGTGTACCAGCAAACACAGACATATGCACACACATACACAAGCATACACAGGAACAGATAGGCACACACTAGCTTAGAAAGGCACACACAGGTACAGACAGGCACACAGTGGCTCAGACAGACACACAAAGGCAAAGATAGGTAAACAAAGGCACAGCAGGCCCATACAGATAGTCACAAAGATAAACACAGGCACGGATAGGTAATGTAAAGCACACACAGGTACTGTAAGGCACTGACAAGCAAAGTAAAGCATGCACAGGTACAGAAAGGTACAGACAGGTACACATATTCATAGACAGTCACTGACAGGCACACACAGACAGTCATACACAGGCATACATAAACATCATAAAATGGGATACCTCTGGGGCCCACTACCTTGTTTTTTGGTTATCTAACTGCAGGGGGTGGGAGGAAGGCAAACGCACAGCCACTGATTCAGCAGGGCCGGGGGCCACAATCCTTAGTAGGGAGAGCACACAGGCAGTGTACCACCAACCCTGTACTTCTTCTTTGGGC